AAGTATCGCACCCGCCAACGTAATCGAAGCACCGCTGAAAATACCCGTGCGCCGACCGAATTTGTCCGATACGAAGGGCGCAAAGGGTATGGCTGATAATGACCTAGTGGTATGTCAACCAACTATCGAGCTACACTAGGCGATGCCAACGTACCCTATCGACTGGATCGCGTTGAAGAGACCGAGTTCGCTAGCGCTTGGATAACCTAGACGACATAGGCGAGATCATGACGCATGTCGAGCGTGGGGTAGGTTGATCAACTTGCCGAAATATTCCTTCCACTCCTGAACAGACTGTAGTCCATTCATCATTGAACCGTCTATCGAGCACATTAGACGGGTGCATGCACATTGTCAAGGGAGCCCTTACCAAAGCCGTTAGCATACGATGTAATTAGAGGAACAAACAACATCAAGTTGAGGATTGCGAGGTCTGCATATGCGTTGGTTCAACTCATCTAGCAACGAAAAGTGAGCACTCACGACGTTGCTTCCACCATGGTCCAGTATAAAGCACAATATCCAGAGGTGTCTCGTCTGGCACATAACTAACGGCACCCATGGGGACCATGATGACAGCACCGGTGAATTAGTCCAGAACGGAGATCCGGGAGAAGCGTAAGGAGTCTTGACGGCAGTAGATAATACAGCAGGCGCAGTGCGCAGAGTGGGGCGCACGACCGGGGGATCGCAGCGGCAAGAGCCAGGACCGGAGGGGATCTTATGCGAAACCCCCTCAGGGTGGAGAAGATGCGGGGGTGCCTAGCCTCCGCAACTGGAGTCTTCGGACGGTAGTCGGGTGCTTAGCCTAGGGCCGATATTGCAGATCGACGTGGCTTGCTGCACAACCGGCGCCGGGTCCTCACCATCGGTTTAGGCGTATCACTTGGCGCCAGACGCTGGCCAAGATTGCTGACAGGCAGCGCTGGGACTAGCCCGCCGCAGGCTCAGACGCGGGGCACACAGCGATATGCGGGGGTGACAGGAATTGATCGTCCCACGTGGCTACGACCGGAAAGTGTTGATCGTCCGCAACAAGCGCTCGGCGACCCCCGACTGGCCGCTCTGCCGATCCTGCGGCCGGGTCCGCGTGCGCACCAGGGTCGCACATCTATCCACACCAGACATATTCTTCCCCACGCGGCGAAAATCACTGCCAGAAAATCGTGGTTAGCGTTTGGTGGCACCCCGACTAGTTCGGCACTTGTTCTAACTACACTTGGCAACTCTTCCCTCAGGTGACCCACCACCCCAGCTTGGACGTGGGTCGTGTGCGCCACCGTTTCCGGTCTGTCCCATTCTCGCTCACGAGAACGAGTATTGGATACCACTACGGGCGCCGAGGTCGACATCACGACAGTTTAGGGGTAGTGCAGGTACAGTGATAAGACATTTGTCGATCAGTTGCGGACGGGCTTTGCGCCCATGTCTCTTCTGAGCCACAATTCAGTTGGTGTATATGCATCAGCTTCGACAAAAGTCTAACATATAAGCAGATCACAGGTTATTACCTTCTCAACGCAAAACTGAATTAGACACCCACGAAGTCTATCGAATTTAGTAAATTGTGGATGATCAAATGCTCCCGCGTTCCTGGCAATATGCATGAGCCTATGGGCAAGGATGGCCAGAGGATGACCATGGTGCGTAACTGTCGTCACTTTTTCAGCCATTGTCGTCCCTAGCATCCCAGATCTACCAACACACCAGTTTCTCACGCATATCAAACCTGTGGCATTAGTCTTTCGCCACCAGCAACACTCGTCTCATCATATTCGTCGGAACCTGAACACACCATAGTCTATGCTATTTCTACCATTCGATGTTCAAATGCTTACGGGCAAACCCGACACTTCGCATTCGGTGCCACTGAACCGTAGCGGTTGCTCGGCAGCGCGATTGTTTCAGTGTCGGCTGTCATCGATGTAATTAATTTTGTAGTTGGTGCCTGCGTTTTGCGCGCGAATATCCCACTCATTTGATACACATTATTGTTGATATTTCGTACGTATCTTTTTTGGCGGTTCGTGGTTAGCATATTGCATACTGTCTGCCGCTTCGTTGTAGCATACACTTCTGGTTCCAAAAGGCCACGTGGGACGATTTGGATCTTCGACGACCGTCTCGTAGCATCTGACCTGATGTCTAACCTTCTTTCGTAACGATCCGCAGCTCTGTTCTCGAAAACGTGCGATCTATCTTGGCATCTTCCAGCTTTTGGCTTTACCAACTTCGCATCGAAGGAATATTGAGATCAAACCAGTAAATAAGCTTCATCAACCCGCTACAAGTCCCGAGCACAGCCAAAACTTGAATGTCGCCACGACAGTCGTAGAACATTGAGGATTGTTCTTTTCTCTACCGAGTCGTGATCCTCCAAACTACCTTGTCTGGTTCTGTATCTGCTTTTGAGGTCAGTGTGCCCAGTTTTTGAAATTCTGTGGTAGGCTGCCAACAAACCTAGAATGACGACGCAAAACACAAGTTTTCTCCTTGTCATATTCTCGAGTGTGTCTTTTGGACTTAGTAGGTTTATCTGACCCCAAAGACAGAATTAATTAGGGCGATGGATACTACAATGAGGTTACTCGGTGGTTCTTCTGTGCAGCATACGCAACAAGCAATCGAGCGTACACAAATACACATCTATCACTTTAAAGAAGCACGACTCCATGTAGACAATATCGGCTAATGGTCATATAGACTGGACATAATAAATAGAATATGCGTGTTTTGATCAAGGAGTTCAGCTCGGGAGTGACTTGTATGCGAGTGTTACTATTTTTCTCCAATCATGTTGGTGACCTATTTAGGTCATCGGTGGTCGTATACAGGGTGAACTGCGATTGTCAGTGGGGCTCCAGTTGACCCGGTCGAGTGTCTTCTGTGCGCTCGTGGCCGAACTTGGTTCGAGTGAATATGCTTCGTTCAGGATCATCAACTCTCTCCTTGACTTCCGGAAGGAGAAACTTCTTAGGCTTCTGGCTTTGAGACAGCGCTGCGCGGTGGTGGGGAAGATCTCAGATATGGTCGGATTTGGGCGTGTTTCAAGTGCTCCAATGGAAGTCGGGGTCGGGTCTCTAATGTTCCTGGCGGAAAGCAATCAAAGCTCACTCTGGCCTATACCTGAGGTTGCTCCCCCTCTGACCATAGATAATTTCTCCAAGATGTTGTCGCACTACTTAATTAAATAGAGCCACTCCTCGTTGGTTGCATTGGGTCCCTATGCGGAAAGTTTTGCATCGAAAAACTATTGATAGGTCACGCGCACCGGCGCCGCATCCTCCACCCCAACACTTCATCTCGCGAGCAAACATCTGCACCAGCGAGTAGACCGTTTTAGGCATGTCTAGGAGCAATAATAAGGAAAGCGGTAAGTATCATAAAACCTAATACATAGTTTTGCTTTTCACAACAGCTGATTCGTAACGCGATACCTGCAGGCACACCCGTACCGAGAGGGACTAAAGACATTCAATCCCCCCCAAGGATGCGTGTACGCAGAATTAGCACTGGGACTAAAGATAGTGAGAGTAGTCAAGGTACGTCTACTTATATATCCATGTCGCCCAGATGTTAAGAATATCGACATAGCAGATTCTCAGTATCATACTTCCGATCAATTCAAAGGAAAAGACAAAATATCCACCAGCAGCAAGGAATTGGTTGGGGAGGTTTCGGAGGAGACATTGGTCCAGTACTTACAAGAGGTAGTTCGGAAGAGGAGATATGACCCGGGTCACGCGCAGAACCAGTACAGTGAGTGTGTATCAGATGCGACATGTAAAGACCAAGTTGAATTCTGTAAATTGTCTACATTAGAGCCTTATCCTGTGCCTTGTACCTCTTCTCATTCCGAAACCCAACACTCCCGAAAGCCAGGGGACAACTTGGTTTCGAGTGAAGGCGCATTTCGTAGGCTTCTCGACATGGCTGGGGCTGGAGTCGATAGCAAGGTTTTTGCGTTGGAGGCGGATACGGATGAATAGAGGTAGAATAGTTGTTAGCCCGGAGAGAGTAGTTGGTCATCGTGAAATTAGATTGAAGCCAGAGTGAATGCGGTCAACACGCCACGGCGCTTACCTAAGACCCAGTGTAAGGAACCCGCCACCTCTCGAATCGGTTCCTCCTAACCACGACCATGGATCCTCCCGCTCCTCCAAAATTCAAACGAAGGAGTAAATGAGACAGGTTCGGCAGACTAGTACCAGAATCTGCACCTCCACCTCCCAACCCGCCAGTTGTGGCACAGTCGTCCCAACCCATGACGTACCTCGACAAACGCGTCTTGAAAATCATTGGAGTGTTGAATCCCAGTATGGAATATCGAATGTACTAGAATATAGTAGCAATCGCATGACTCGCATATATGTACTAGATACGTACCGAATATTCTAGGAGGTACTAGAAAGACTGAAATACGTGTATATAAGGAGCGCATGCAGGCTCCGTAGGTACTCATCCCCGTTGTTAATATCATATCAATCCTATTGTCTTAAGCACACTGCGTTACGCGCATTTATTGCGTGACTATATTCAGCATCGGTTTCAACATGGAGGGACTGCGGAAGGCTACCTTGCGTTTCAGCGCAAGATAGAACAAGATAGCGCCATTGTTATACGGCCTGCTTCAGTGGTCCAGCCAAAAACCAAAAGCGCGAACGATCCTCACAAACAGGATTCTCGCCGTCGCGAGCATATTGAGTATTTCAAGTCCCTAGATGAGAGTGACATATTGGATTATGCCAAGGTTTTCAATGTAAGTCGCTATTTAGGCATGATTCATTGGCTGACAGATTTCTTAGATCCCGCTGAAAAAAGTTGAACTTTATGCGCCTAGGATGCTGCAACTCATTCAGTTGATGGCCAAGGAGTTGTCGGGAGGCTGTAAATCGTTTTGTATGATCATGTAAACCTTCCTGTCGATTGCGGTTGAAATCATTAAAGAATATTATGCGAGTAGCACACGAGACTCGTTGGTGTACAACAAGGAGCAAAAACTCCGGTACAGGGAATCGAACCCTGAGCCGTCGCGTCATGTGACAGGATTAGTCAGCTGAAAGGCGACAATGTTAGCCGTTACACCATACCGGATTGGATTGATTGCCACATGCAATAATGCTAATTCATGATTTGTGAGTTTTAGGTGCCAATGTAAGCTAACATAATAATATACTATGCCGCCGCCCTATCTGTTAGCCAAGGATTACTTGGTCCGGAAACTTCGAGGATACACGCATGGCCATGCAACGCAAGGCAGGCCTTTTGTTGTCTGATTATCATAGTGAGGTTGCGTGAACAGGCTGGTTTGATCGTTCAAATTACAAATCTGCTAGAGTCCAATAAAACCCGGGCCGCGGTAGTTCACAAGCCAACCGCCATCATTTACCCCACAGAACGCGAGTCAATCTATAATACATCGTATATGTACTGAAACTACCCGACAGAATATGGCACCAAAGATACTTGGCGGCTACCTGCTCACTTACCAGGAAGTAGCAGATATTGCACACCACCTCGGGCTTCAATGGGACAGCAATCCCAAGGTCCTCATAGGCTGCCGCAAAGCGCTCAAACGGTGGATGATCGATTAGGATCCCGTTTTCTGGTATTTTTGACTTCAGCCTATCGGCTTCAAAGAACACGGCAAGACCGTCGTCAAGCTCGTTTTTCTGACCTATGGGACCATCGAGGACAAAACCGATCCCGATTTTAGGTTCTATGAGGACGAGGGACTTACGGCAAACTTTAGAGAGGGGACACGCAGGGCAAATATCTCAGAAGAACTGTTCAAGAACTTTGTGATGGTGCGCAACCCGGAGATTAGCTTTGTTCAAGAACGATATGGACAGCCAGAGAAGTATTTACCGCTCAGATCGCGCGCCTGGCGGAATGAACACAAAATTGAATGATAATGTCTTGTTTCTCAAGTTTTACATGTCATTTGTGTGTGTGCTCGTTTTTGATAAGCCAGCCGAGCAGTATCTGGACGTCATTGAAAATATCTTGGCGGGATGATTCGAAAGTCTTCTACGGACCAACGTAGACGGCGACGACTTTGTGATGACACTGACACCCAAATCATATATTACAAGAACGATCACTTTTTGCTAGCACTAGAGGCTTAAGACCCAGCCGAACCTTGTAGTTGTCACACTCACGGTCACGCTGACCACACCTATGATTCTGCGAAACAGTACAAAATTGGCTAATTTTTAGTGTCTGCCAAACTCGTCAGATGAGGTCAGCGATAGATGTAGCATGATTCCAGTCGGAGAATTCAGGCGAGACTTTTACGAGTGTAGCAGAACTGGCCGAGCTTGTCAAACTTTTTGACGAAACGGACAAGTGGGACAAAGCCCAGTGCCGAGAATACTCCAATAGCCTGATACACAGCCCACCCGACATGCTGATACTGCCCCTAGAAGGGATATCACACAGAACGGTGGGAGCTCAAGCTATGTGGACATCCTGAAATACAAAAAGGGGCTTTGAACTGTACTAGAGGAAACAATATATGTCAAGAGAGGTGTACACACGAGCAAAGAAGGATCTATTCTGCGGTTGTTCACAGGCGCACGCCAAGTGCACTTCTGCTAAACTCAAGCAGCATATACACTGGTTTGCGAAACTGATGCAGTACGCCTGTTTATGCAATAAAATGATAGTGACCGCACTTGAACCTGTAAAATAACTTAAGTACATGCCATAATGCCTTGCGCTGATATAGCGCGAGGGATATACATAGGCTGTACTGGCAGGACAGAGAGCGTGGAGAGACGTTTTGAGATCGCCGACCTCAGAACTGCTAATAGAGATTGTAGTACTATGCGATGTCAGCATAATAAGCAAATAAAAAATACCTTTAACTGTTGTCTTGGGCATATAGGCGTCTGAAAATGTCGCTTTTGGCGGTCCTAGGACAAGAAATACCGAATCACCGCCTCAAAACTTGGGTGCGGTTAAAGTTTTGATTTCAGTTGTCACATCAGGCTCATGGTAGTGATCGCGTCTGGATTAATGGATTTGTATTGGATCAGCCGGTGCAATGCACCTGCGGGTGTGTTAAAGCCAAAAGCCTCAGAAAACCATGGGCCGTGTATCAGATTCGCGGGCGTAAGATATGATATTCCTGGACAATCCATGCTGTGATCATTTGCATTTGACTCATAAAGAACCCTTGCGAAGCTGATTTGACTGCTCTCAGTCGCGTGGTAAGACGTGACTGCCGAGAGCTTGCGGCATACTCGGGCATAGCATACGTTTCACAAGAGCTTCCCAACCAGTATAAATGCAAAGCGAAATCAGCTAATCTCACCATTCACTCTCGCTATACCACCCATTCCAACATGGTTTTCAAAAGCATCCTGTTCGCATCTACTCTTGCTTCCGTCTCCATTATGCAGGTTATTGCCGGAGGCGGGTTTGGAGCTTCCTGTAGCAACTACTACTTGTCGGGTACAACTCTTCACGCAAACTGCGGTGACGGTAATGGCGGACACCGTGACTCGTCGATCGATCTCAACCGATGCATTGCAAACTACGGAGGCAACTTGGCATGTGCTGCAAAGTGTGGTCTTCTCTCTTTCGTTTCGAATCTTAATAACCCTCTCGCTCTGTATAGTGGCGGCTTTGGAGGCTCGTGCAGCGGATGCTTGATCCGTACGGGTACTTACATGATCTGCCAGTAAGTCATTCCGTACGCTGCTGCTTGCGGTGCCTAACTATCGTTCAGCTGCGGCCCGGGATCGAACAATACGCCTATTAAGGATTTGAGTGAGTTTCAAAGGATTGCGGATTATTCCAATTTACTTATAGCTTTTAGACGACTGCGTGGCAAATTACGGAGGAAACCTCGCTTGTGCAACATAGTATCCGTATTGGTGTATCGTTGTTAATATCGTGCTCCCCCAGACGGGTAAATGTATGCGCAATTTTCTGGCCTGAAATTCCGTAAATCGCCTTGCCGGAACTCCCCTACCCAAACATAAAACCCGAACTGCAGAAGGCTTGGTTTACCATACCAGCGACTTGTTGGTCAGCTGCACAGACCATCTCTTTCTTCAAACTTCCCCCCCTATCCATATATGTCAATTTCTATGCTCTATATATAACATATATCCACCTGATCGATTCAGTTAACCCAGTGCCCACGAGAAGTGCTGAGAATCTTTGATTCTCGATCGGCTTCTTGGCGCATTCGCACTTGCAGAAAGTGATGCATAGAACCCTCAGGGGCTGGCCCCGAGGAGTGTAGAACTATCTACATGAGGTAGAGTATACATACGGCGTACATGCGTATACGCTATACATGGAAATGATAAATGAGCGCGCGTTAAGCGCTATGCATACAGCCATAGGGGCCGGGTATCAGATGGCGGTTAGTCCGGCGGTCCATCAAGCGCAACAAGAAGGTTTAGCTTACGATAGTCACCATCAAGATCCGCCTGATTGACGCCGGTGTGCTTTGGGAACCTTTGTGGCGGAAGGCATCGATCATCTGGACCACTTCATCGGAACGGTCATGGGACTAGTTGATGTACTTAGCTCTTGTAAGATCCAACGCATAATCACTAGGGGGGAGGAAGAAATGCCAAATGGCGGGCTTTTCGGCCAGTAAATGCTATATACGTTCACCCATGGTTCGTGGATAGCTAGCTGAGTATTAATAGACATATCCTTCGGCATACGCCTGCCCTGCCGCGGAAAACATTTGATCTGCTGGGATAGCCACCAAATCATCTATAAAACCATACTGCTGCCGTTTGTCCAGCACAATCGTTGACGTTTTTCCCTCGTCCCAGCCCTCCAAAAGAGAATGCTCTTTAAAACCACGACTCTCATAACTGTCATCGGTGCAATTTCTGTCACTCCAGTCATTGCGGGAGGTGGTTTCTCTGCATCTTGCAGCGGCGCCAGTGTGTCTGGGACTACCCTTACTGCCAACTGCGGCAATGGAAATGGCGGAAGTCGCTGGTCGTCGATCGACTTGAACCAGTGTATTGCAAACTACGGAGGCAATTTAGTGTGCGCCAAGAAGTAAGTGCCCCAAATGTTCTTCGTTTGCATGATGCTCAGCAACAAAACCCATTCATAGTGGTGGATTCGGAGGTTCGTGCAGCGGGTGCGAGATCCGCACAGGGGTGTACATGATTTGCGGGTGAGTCTAACTGATCGATTTGGGGTCGCTTGCCAAAGTTGACATTCCATTCAGATGTAGTGGAGGGTCAAACCCGACCCCGATCATTGACCTAGGTAAGAGGCAGACATATAAATACAATCAATGCACTGATATTGATACTAATTTCTAGACAATTGTGTCGCAAACTATGGTGGAAATCTAGCTTGTGCCACATAGAATTATTTATTACTTTGACCAGAAACAACAGACCCGGGAAGCTGGCGAAATCGATGAGATGGATCAGTCCCACGAGAATCTTAGTACACACGTAGTCTTTTGTCCTTATATATCAATCTAGCTTGCATCTACTAGCCAAACAACCTCGGAAGTAGGCACACGTGAGGGCGATCAAGTCTCGGTGGTGAATGAGGAGCCAGCAACGTTTGAGCCTGCTTTGCCAGCTCCTAGCCGAACTGGATATTGAGGATCGACCGTATAGTTAAACCTGTTGAAAATTTAGAAGCTTGCCGATCGATTCATAACTAAATTGCTCGGGATAGGTTGTGTTGACCCCCTCTGATCGAATGCGCTCCTCCAGGGGTTTGGACACGAGACATACTATAAACGGCTCGGCGCACTGGTCGTGTCAATGTATGTTCACAATCTAAGTTTACATAGCACAGGGCACGCATTTATATGTTATGCTGTAAACCGGCGGGTTGGGACTCAACATGAGGTTTTGGCTATCGTGACAGCGATAAGGTGATGATGACTAGAACTCGGCCAGTGCGAATTAGTAGGTCGATTTATGAGCTGAGCTGAGCTGAGCTGGGCTGTGATATGGCCAGGAATCTGAGTGGCAAAACCGGTTTAGTTGCAAGTTTGTTCAAGCGCTTATCGAATAAATAAATAAAAGCTGGGTAACAATTTTGGCGCCGACCACGAGCTATCGATCTGCACTGCTTATAACGTA